CCAGTCAAAACCACTACCTCTTCCATGAAGTCCTTCTGGATTTTCCAGCAGGAAATAATCTTTTGGTCCTTGTGTATACTTTTTTTGTATTTTTATTCTGGTCCTTACTACAGCTTACATTGTAAACCTGTTTGTGTGTGTATGTGTGTCAATATCTTGTATATTCTCAGATTATAAAGTTCATTTCATTGATGAACAGATATTTATTGAGTACCTACTAGGTGCTAGTGCAATACAGAAAACAGAGAGCAAGCTGGACATAGAGTATCCATTTTGAACGACCATCCTACAGCACCTAGCATGTATGTTGCACTTTGTAAGCACTCAATGATTCCTTGTCGAATACATGACTAAATTCCTAATTTTACTGAAAAATGCATTTCCAGAAAGTTTTATTTTCAGACCAGAAAAGTAAGACTAGGAATTAAATTGAAAAGGCTTCAGAGAGGCTGAACTAGGAGTTCACAACATATATGTGTTTGTCTCTTGCACAGTTTAGCCATGGAGACCCTGGCAAGCCCTCACACAGAGCCCTTTGCTCTCTGTTTACATACATCTTTAACAATAATAATCATGACAACAACCACAGCGAGCTTGAGTATTTGTTTTCCAAGCTTGTTTCAGATGAGAAGCAGCAAATTAGGAGCAGGGAGTAGAAATGGCACAATCAGTCACACTGGCATCAGTGAGACTGACAGTCCAGCAGCAAGGGATGACCCAAAAAGGCTAAAAAACAAAACAACAATTAAAAAAAAAAAACCCAGCAATCTGCAGCCATTTAGAATAGGGACAAACAGTTCTGCATACCTCCAAAGGGCCGTAGGGCTTCTCAGTGTTATAGCACAATAGTACTTTTAATGACAGCCTCAAGTCATCAAGCTGGATTATGTTTATAATGCACTATTTTAGAAGGCAGGGAAGATTAATATATTGGAAATGTTTCCATTCAAGATAATTAAAACTCAGCCATCTATTAAACTCACTTATCCAGAACGACTCTCTCCGACCCCCACCCGCAGGCTCTGGAGCCAGGATTTTATTGTACTTCCTCGCATTACTTGATTCATTTGCCTCAGAACATTCGTTGGCTCTTGCATCTAGTTCAATTTTCATTCAATAAGTTTTATTCCCATTCTATTTGCACACTCTGCAAGGGCCAGTGGAGGACACTAGGCTTGTCTTGGAGATGCTCAAGGTCTTGTTGAGGAGATAAGACCTACATCCTTGAACCAACATAAGGACACGATAGAGAAATGCAAATAAGTGTATTGTGAAACAAACTTTGCAATGAAGGGTCATTTGGGACTTGATCCTTCTTGACTAGAGCTAATCAAGATTTCTTAGATATGAGACTCTGAGCCAGAAATGGAAGATTTAGGGTAAAGAAAACAGCACAAAGAGGAACGCAGACCAGAGGCAAGAGAGAGTAAATTGTGTGCTGGCGATTGTCAAGAGCCCACCTGGCAGACTGAGGCTGAGGACCCTGCTTGGGAATAATATGAGATAAGTTTGAAGCATTCCACCGTTTTGTACAAATCCCTGTCATCTTTCTAAAATCACGTCTTAGTCTGCTCAGGCTGCCATAACAAAATACCATAGACTGGGTGGCTTAAACAAAAAAATTTATTCTCACAGTTCTAGAGGCTGGGAAGTCCAAGATCAAGGTAGAAGCCAATTTGGATTCTGGTGAGGGCTGCTTCCTGCCTTGCAGACAGCCACGTTCGGGCTGTGTCCTTACATGGGGCAGAGAGAGAAAGCTCTCTGGTGTCTCTTCCTATAAGGACACTAATCCCATCATGAAGTGCCCACCCTCATGACCTCATCTAACTCTAATTACCTCCCCAAAGCCCCATCTCCAAATACCATCACATTGGGGGTTAGGCCTTAAACATATGAATTTGGCAAGGGTAGGGGGTTGTGGATGGGGACCCAACATTCGGTCCAAAATAGGTCATATGAATGTAAATCCCTGCATCTTTTAATTTTTTTGGGGGGGGGGCTGCATTGGGTCTTCGTTGCTGCGTGCGGGCTTTCTCTAGTTGTGGTGAGTGGGGGCTACTCTTCATTGCAGTGCGCGAGCTTCCATTGTGGTGGCTTCTCTTGTTGCGGAGCATGGACTCTAGGCGTGCAGGCTCAGTAGTTGTGGCTCGTGGGCTCTAGAGCGCAGGCTCAGTAGTTGTGGCCCACGGGGCTGAGTTGCTCCACGGCATGTGGGATCTTCCCAGACCAGGGATCGAACCCGTGTCCCCTGCATTGGCAGGCAGATTCTTAACCACTGCACCACCAGGGAAGTCCCCCTGCATCTTTTGAAAAGCTCAAAAAATGAAGTTTGATATACAGATTGGTATTTGTCTTCACTCATGTCATTTCACTCGAGAGTTTACATAACAGCTAGTTGCAAGCTACACAACTGACTTGACTTGCTTTCTCTACATTCATTTTCCAAAAAAAAAAAAAGAAGAAAGAAAACCGGAAATGTTAAGTTCTCCTTTGGTTAGAAGCTCTTGGAAGTATTCTACTTTTAGAAGACGTCATCCAGTGTATCTGAAGCTTTGGATGATGGTTAACAGATTGATGAGTAATTGCATATAAACACAAACAATGGGCTGAAACTTTCTACAGCTTGTTAACTGGTAAAGACTGGAGATTTATCAGCCTGTTAAAACGAGGTTCTGATAACTGTGCTTTTACCTTTCTCACTAGACTATAAACTCTGAGAGGATGGGGTACGTGTTTTCCCCAGCATCTAGACCATCACCTACCACAGAAATGGGACTTAGTGTTAAGTGAAAAACTAAATAAATGATTGGATGCAAGACAAATTAATTTGTTAACATTTGACTAAAGTAAACATATATTTCTCAGAATTAACTTAGCCTGAATTGGCTGAGATGCTTATGACTGGTGGATTATGCCTATTTAACAAATTAAAAGCAAACCACAAAATCAAGGATTTTAAACTAATTTTTTCCCAGACATGTTCGTTGTAAATCCAATACACATACTCTGTTGAACTGGCTGCTTTGTGTAATTGAGAGCCAATTTCAACGTTCACATGACAATGAAAACCTCAAGCTTAAATTTATTAATACGTTGCCTTGGCAGAACACCAGGCCTCTTAATAGCAAAATATGGAGAGAAAGGATATTAGTCTCCAAAGACTTGAGTTTGATTTTGAAAATAAACTGATGTTGTTCTTTAAAGATCATTCATAAGGAGACATAACTGTGGAGATGTGGACTATAAAGAAATTTAAATGAAAAATAATTCAAAGTACAGAGAATCAGAGTTTCAGCATGGTATTTGGTTGGAAGGCCCAGGGATCAAAATATTTAAGTGTTTTAGGTCCCACCTTAGCAATTCAAATCCTGAATAGTTGCTAATGCATCGATCTGATAACTCCTAATCTAGACATACTTAACAAATAATTTGCCAAACACACTAGGATATGGAACAGAAGAACTACATATTCAACCAGGTGGACCCCAGAAAAGGAGACTTCATCATTTCTAATAACCGTGGTTGCCATTTATTTAGCACATACCAGGTATCTGTCTAGCACTATGTCAAGTGACGTACAGATTTATCTAATCCTTACAAAACCCCCATTGAGCAGATGAGGAAACTAAGGCTTAAAAATATGTTAAATAAATTACCCCTTAATTGATTACTCCGAATCAACAAGCCTGTAAATGGCAAAGGCACGATTTTAGCCTTTGCTATTGAGCACTCCGTTTTGTTCCACTGCTCCTCAAAAGATGGTCCGTGAACTGGCAACATGAACATCACCTGGGAACTTGCTGGAAATCAGTCCTGAACTCCACACAGGCTTACTGAATCAGAATCACTGGCTGTGGGACCTAGGAATCTGTTTTAACCAGCTCTCCGGGAGATTCTAATGCACACTGAATTTTGAGAAGTACATCTCTATTCTACTCTATTTCTCCAAACTTTAGCAAATATTTATATTTCACTTTTCCAGTGCAGTTTCTTACAAAACCCAGAAAATTAATATCACATTCCTTTCTTTGTTTGAATTATGTGAACAATAGTCACTAGACTAGAAACCTTAATTCCTACAAATAGAATATATAAAATGAGCCCCAAGGAAAACAACCCAATGGCATTATTATCCATCTAAAATATGAACAAGGGCTACAGTGATTGGAATTCTTTCAAGACCTGACTACACATATTGGTTTAGGATTAAAACAGTAACCACTTAGCTCATTCTAAGCTTTAACAGATAAAACAGATTTTTAATATAAGCTCAGAAAGAGTATCTTGCCAAGAGGGCAAGAGTAACCATCCGGTGTGCTGTGACAAAAGTGAAATATAATATATGTAAAGGGCAATCAGAATTCCAATCTATTGCTATGAATGATTGTCTTGCCAGGTAATGAAATGTATTGACATTACTGCTGAGCTGTCATTGGCATGTTATACAGACATTGAGATTTTCTAAGCAAAGTTACTGGAAGTCATTCAAATATTTATAATGGTGTAATGGGTGAAATGGAGACTTTCTCTTTCAAAAAAAATTTTGTTCCAAATTCCTTGATGAGAAAATATTTGGAATAAAGCACAATAGATTTATATACAGACTTATATGGCTGAAATTGATTTTTGTTTCCCTGGGAATTTAAGAATCTTTTTAATAGTTGAGAGCTGGTGTACAGCTGCAAGAGGTTGGCTTAATACGGAGCCAATATTTATGCTTTCTTGATAGAACAAATGAGAGTTCTCGCTCTGTTTTCTATCTTACTTTTGTTGAAAGCCTGGCAACACTGGGATATAATACTTGCTTCTTCAAAATGTTTCTAAGTTGTTCACTGTTTTGTATTTAATCTTGAAGCTGCTTTATTTATAATATTATTAAACCTCAAAGAAACACATGGTGGAAGAGAATGGAGAAATTCTGTGATTTCACTGTTTTATTCTTCTTTAATAGAATTTATGTGAAACCGAAAATCGTTCATGTTTTTGTTTTTATTTTCAAGGAGTGTGTCCATGCCTTGCAACAGGATGCCTTACACAGATGAGTAAATCACAGTACACAATAAATTTTATGGCTGAAGAAATTATTTCTGCGGAAATCTCCCTCTAACAGGTGAGTGAAGATTTATGTAGATATTTGTTATCTCTATATCTAAATAAAGCAAGCACAGTCTTGAAAAAATACAAACATATTTTTGTCCAAATGCAGATCCAGCACAATTGCAGCCAGTACCCTCTACTTCTTAATAATTTCTAGGTTTTCTCTAGCCTTACATATTTATTCCTACTGCTTACCATTTGCCTACTATATTGAGGATCTACTAAAGGCCAGTATTATGCTTGTGTTTTACCTGGATATCATATGTACAGGTGCAGTGCTCTGACATATGGTAAGCACTCAAGCAAATATTATTATCTACATACAACTGCTGAAAACAAAATTTGCCGGTAGACAGAGTAATTGATGCTTCTTGGATCCTAGGTCTCACTAGCAGAGTTTTGACATCAGATAATACCATCTTTCAGCATGCATAGCAGGAATCCAACTGGTCAGTGTAATGTAGTGGTTAAAATCATGGACACTGGCACCAGACAACCTTGGTTCCAGTCCGTGTTCTACTGCTTATTACCTACGTGACCTTGAACCAGACGTTCAGCTTCCTATGCCCCTGTTTCTTATCTCGTAGAACTGTTGTACAGATTAACTCAGAGAGTGCTTGGAAAAGTGTTTGGTGTGGGGTAGGTGGACAATATATGGTAGCCATCATTGTTATTCTCTGGGCCCATTTCATCACCTGTAAATGGATGCAATAAACAAGCAGACCTTATGGAATTTCTGTTATGCGGAAGTCTAGAGGTTCCATAACGTCAAGAACCATGTATGTCTTTTCACTATTGGATCCTAGTACATAGCATAGATTCCTGGCATACAAATAAAAATTTAAGTGAATGAATAAATGAAATAAATAAACATATATAAAAATATATATATAAAGCATTCGGCACAGTGCCTGACACATAGCAAGTGTTCAATAAATGAGGGCTGTTTTAAGTATGCTTAACTATCTTGTGGACTCCCTTAATACAGTTTAGTTCAAGCCAGACCTCTGTCCATAATACTGGGAAATTTTCAGTGGGAAGTCTTCACTCCCTGGAACTAAGACCTCCAGGAAGCTCTACCCAGTGGCGTTATGGAATAGCTCCTTATGCCTTGACTAGAAAGGAGTTAGTGGTAACGGCATTGGGCCAGAAATCCAGGTCAAGTCCTGGCTTGACGATTTCATAGTTGTGTGGCCTTCACCAAGTCATTTCACCTATTTGAGTCTGTCTCCTCAATTGTAAGATAAATGGTTTGGATTGAAAGATCCTCTTCTAATTCTGGATCTCTGTAATTTCAGAAATTATATCATAACTCTTTGTTCCTGAATATGTGAAAATTTTTTATGACTTATCTCTCACGTATGTAGCATGCCTATTATACACACACATACACACACACACAAATGTGTATATATGAGTCAGCAATGCCTGCTGTGAATTTTTCATCCAATACAGGAACTTCTCTTCTGGAACAATGAATTCCTCTCTCCATTTGTACCTTTCTTGGTGATGCCTGGTTGTGAATTAGACATTTAGATTTGGCATCCATATTAGATTAGAACTGAGAAATGTTCTAAAAGGAAGCCTTGATTAAGAAAAATTGATGACTTATTTTGTCCATTCCAGCCCAATGTAATTTTCCTCCTCCATACTTATCCAGTTTTTCTTGTTTGTGCCAATTATATGCCAGATTTTGAACCTGAGTCTCTCTCATCAGAGTCAATGAACTCTCTACTCTACACTGTCTTTCAAACAGCTGCTTGCCTTGTCAAATCCCATCAGTCTAAACATCTCCCTGGAAGCAGATCTGTTTATTATGTTTATTTGAATTCCACCCTTCCAAACACACACACACAGTTGTGAACATAATAGGTGCACAGTAAATGTATGTTGAGTAAATGGAAGATAAAAAGGACACACTGGGCCTTCTTCAGTTTTTGGCCTCATTTCTCTCCTAGAATTCCTTTTTTGGATCCAAACAGGAAGTGGTAAGGTTGTCACATGAATACAAATCACTGAGTTGTGACAAGTGCCAAACTGGCTCTAAGGCATCAAGGAAGTCAAAGCTTAGTCCTCTCTGTTTCTTTCCCAGCATTCACAGGCCTGAACATCAATCACCCCATCCTATGCAGCCTCTGTAGACAGCCGCCTGGTTAGCCTGGCCCTAACCAGGCCCAGGGATCCCTGAACTTTTCGTATTCTACACCAAAGAGTTTTTGCTGGGCTTATTAAAGTATATTTTGGGAGAGGTTGATTAGCTCTTTGGTTTTGTTACCTACCACTCATATATATTTCGAAGACTGCAAAAATAAAAGATCGAACAAGCCATTATTTCTGATCATGGAGATGAGAGAGCTCATACTTAAACGAGAATAATAAATGCAATTTTGGAATCTACTGGATACTCTTTTGAAAAGTAGGTAGTCATGATCAATCTAGGAAGGTTGCATTAAACTTAGCACTTGAATTATGCAAGTTCAAACTGACAACTGTAATAAGCAGTCTTCAACTTCCAGAAGCTTTACATAATAAAAGTTTATTGCTGACTCATGCAATAGTGTAATGCAAGTATTCTTCATTAGCCAGTGATGCCCCAAATAGTATCTCAGGGATCCAGGTTCTTTCCTTTTTGTAGTGCCACCTCTTCTAGATCTTCAGTCTTCTCCATTAAACTGCAGGAGGAAAAGAGAGAGATTGGAAGAGTGGAATATTAAGCAGAAAGTTTTTGTAGACCAGGCTTAAATACATATCACTTCCTGCCCACATTTTATTGGCCAGAATTCAGTCATATGGTCACACCTAACTGCAGGGAAGGCTAGGAAAAGCAGTCTAGCTGAGTGCCCAGTAAGAAAAGGAACTGGGGTAAAGTGAACTCACAGCAGTCTTTGCCACAGCTCTACATGTGTACTTCCCATCCAGCATCATGATGTTAGCAGTGTTCCATGTAAAGGGCCAATAAATGGTTGCTCTTTTTATAACTAGTACATCTGATAAAATCTAATAACCATTATCCGAGAATATATGGAGCAAAGCCAAGTGCTAATTGTGGGCTATGATAAATAAGACATGACCTTGGCCCCTAAGAATTTTGTACTGAAATAGAACTGTCAACCAACTCTTTCTTCTTTTTCTTTTTTCTTTTTTTTTTTGGCTCTGCTGCGTGGCTTGTGGGATCTTAATCCCTGGGCCAGGAATCGAACCGGGGGCCCCAACAGTGAGAATGCCAAGTCCCGCCAGGGAATTCCCTTTTTATCTATTTTTTTCTTTTTTTTTCAACCAACTCTAAAATGGAGAAGAATAAAGTAAGGATAGAGGTGAAAGTCTTTTGTAGCATACATCTTGTTATATGTCTGTCTACCATAACTTTAAGCCACTCAAGACAGACCTGATAACACGCCTTTGTGTTTATGGTCTTTATTCATTGCCTGGCATACAGCAGGTATTATAGAAGTGATTTTCTTTTTAATACAAATTATTTATTTATTTATTTTTGGCTGCATTGCGTCTTCGTTGCTGTGCACAGGATTTCTCTAGTTGCAGCGAGCAGGGGCTACTCTTCATTGCGGTGCACGGGCTTCTCATTGTGGTGGCTTCTCTTGTTACAGAGTACGGGCTCTAGGCACACAGGCTTTAGTAGTTGTGGCTCACAGGCTGAGTAGTTGTGGCTCATGGCCTCTAGAGCACGGGCTCAGTAGTTGTGGCCCACGGGCTTAGTTGCTCTGCGGCATGTGGGACCTTCCTGGACCAGGGCTCGAACCCATGTCCCCTGCATTGACAGGCGAATTCTTAACCACTACACCACCAGGGAGGTCCTAGGGCAATAGTTCTTAACAGGGTTGTGTGTATGCATGGGAAGAGGGGGATTTGGCTGATTTACCTCTTATTGAGTAACAACTACCCCCAAACTTAATGGTTTAACACAATCATTTATTTTGCTGATGATTTTGTAGGTCAGGAATCTGGGAAGGACTAGGCTAGATAGTTTTGTTCCACATGGTTTTAGCTGTAGTGGCTGGGCCTAGAGGATCCACTTTCAAGATGGTTCCTTATTTACACAGAGTGCCTCAGTGTTCTACACATTTGGTCTTATACTTTGAGCTGCTCCATATGGCTTGGGTTTCTCCTGTCATGGTGGTCTCAGGATATCTAATCACATTTCTTACAAGAGGCAGGAGTTAAGGCTACCAGGTCAATAAAGGGCCATGCCCAGAACTGGCAGTGTCACTTCTATTACATTTTACAGGACCTAACCACATTCAAGAGGTTGAGAAATAGATTCTACCTCTTGATGGGGAAAACAGCACAGTCACACTGTGGAAGGGCATGTCGGATGGGAAATATTGGGGATTATCTTTGAAAAATACTAACTGCTACAGGAATGTCCACCCAAGTCACCTGAGGAACTTTTTCAAATTATGGCCATTATGCTTCCAAGTTTTAAATAGGTTCCATGGGGAATTCTGATACCTATCCCCAGCTCAGACCCAGTAGTGTAGAACAGAAAGAAAAAGTGGCTCAGGACCGAAATGTAAAAAGAACAACTCTGAATAGGGAGTTCCTGCTGATAGACCAGAGATGAAATAAATGAGCTAGAGGCATGATGGGAGCCAAAGGAGGAGATGATTTCAAGGAGGGTGTGGTCAGAAGCACCAAATGCTGTAGAGACGGTGAGAATGAGGAGAAATAGGCAGAGGCTGACAAATATGGCTTTGAAATCTCTCCAGGCGTCTCTGAACTCTGTTTCAGTTGGGATTGGAATCCAGAATCAGAAGCTTACAAACTGAGTCTGCAACCAGAATAGGTTCCATTTTGTCCCCCAAACTTGGCTATCCTCATGAAACCCTATTTGTAAGGACTGAAATAGCAGTTATCTGACAGCAGTACACAATCTGCAAATGAGAAAAATTGTGACAGACTTTACAGGTAGTTAAAGTGTGAACTTCAAGAAAATGGAGACATTTCCCTTCTGCTCCTCCCTTTTATCTTTGCAAGTAAGTTCTTTGGCAGTTAGTT